CACTGAAGTCATATACTTTGATCCTTAATTATCTAAAATAAGCTTAACTATGTTATCCTGTCTCTTGAAAATTTATAACTAATACAGCCCTCCCCCCCCCACCCCACCCCCTGCCATTTAGTCACATTTCTTTAGCCCTTAATGTGGACCACAGGTAAGGAAGAGGCATTTGGTTTTGTAGTAAAAGTATAAAATCTGGGAACAGTATGGTGAGTGATGATGAACTAACTTGGAATTTACAGTCCGGGTTTCAACTCTATGCTTATTGGCTATGGAAGTAACTTTGTCTCTCTGTGCTTCACTTTCTCTTCATTTATAAGACAGAAGATGATAATATCGCATAGCATTAAATGTTATTTATATTAAATTATTTATATTAAATTATTATGCAATACCTGACATATACTAAACATTCAGCTCTAAACATTAGCTATTATTACCTGGGTTTGAATCCTCTTAGCTCATTTGAGGAAAAGTTGTGACCTCTTTGGGTCACTCTGCAAAACGAGGGGTTGGCCAATCTCTTCTTCTCAAGGACCAACACCTGTACCCCACCAGCCTGTTCTTTTCACTTCACATGGATCCTTGGTTTTTAAAGATTTTGCTGGCCACACTTCATTTGTGAAATAATAATCCACATGTCATCAAGGTTTCCCTTGGGCTTTATAAAATCCCAGGGATAGCTTGCAAAGCTACTTAGTGACAACTCCTGGACCAGGAAAGATGACCCCCGAGGGATCTCCCCTTCCACTCCAGTTTCACACAGTGGCATCCTCACAGCAAGAAAAAAAAAGGCCTTCAGATAGTTCCGGTCCATAGAACAGGTAACCAAGTTGACCCTGAACTAGAAAACGTTTCTCGTTGGCTTTTGGCATGCGCTGGGGCCTTGGTGCCATGTCTTTCAGGGTATTGTTCTGAGTAGCACATATTCCAGCCCAATTAAGAGAAGGAGTTGTTCTGATTCTCTGACAAGGAAACATTTGGTGTTTGGAAAATCTAAGAGTACGTCCTATGGCTGGGGAAGGCCATTTTCATGGTGATTGATACTTTGGTCTGAGAGTCCTATGTGCTAGTACTTTCCATATATATCAGCTCTTTCAGTTTTCACAGTAATCTTCCAAGGCAGTTATTGTCACCCTCATTGAATAGGTGATGAAACTGCAGCTCAGAGACCTGATCTGCCCAAGGTCAACTAGCTAGAAAATGACAGTGTTGCTTTGTATTTCTTTCATATATGAAATAACATAATTCTTACTTTTCTCTGAAGCAGTAATGATCTCCATTTTATAGATGAGGAAACGGAGGCCTACCAAAGTTAAGGGGCTTTTTTAAGGTCACAGAGCTAAGAATTAGCATCCTGGGAGTTGAATGCAAGTTTAACATTCTTTCTTCAATAGCCGCTGGCAGTAAACCAGCAGGGAGGTAGCGCCTCGTTGGCACCCAAGTGAGCCCTGTGAGAAGGCATTAGCTAGTCCTTGGTGGCTTTGTGAGGTGGGGTGGAAACCTACCTTGGATGTCGTCGTTGAACATGCAGTACTTGTTGCGGTATTTATTGAGCAGGCGGAAGGCGTTGGCATTGGCAAAGTCTTCAAACTGGATGAGACAGTTTATTCCAAACCTGGGGGGAGGGAAGGGAAAGAACATATGATTGCCTTCCCGAGGCAGATCCCTGGCAGTGGGGAGGCGCAGGCCACCAGGTGGGGGGGTGTGGCATGGCTCGTTCACTCGGGTTTTTGCCACCTGGCTGGCTCCTGGACTCCTGGGCTCTGCCTACCTCATTACAGATGGAGATGGGAAAGAGAGAGCAGGGGCACTGGGCTTGGTGGTCAGCTGAGCCCACCTCACTGTCTCTAATGTGGGCTGGTGGCTTATGTGGGCGATGGATGGAGACCTGGGTGGGGGGGTTGGCTGGAAGGGCTGAGATGTGGCCTGCTCTCTCTGTGGCCTGTGCCATCTGAAATCCCAGCAGAAATCTCACTCTAAACCCAAGTGCATGCAGAGAGTCTGGCTTGCCCAGGGGCCTGGGAGCCTCTGCAGCGTTCCAATAGCTTCCTGGGTGGACCCCGAGGCCATGAGCTCCTCCACTAGAGACTCTTCTAGGTTCAGGCATGGTTCCCCAATAAGATGCAAGGAAGGTTGAGAGAGGCATCTACATTAAGCTGCTGTCACCTACGTATACCTTGGTGAGGGTGTTCTCCATCTCGTAGGCACGGAAGAATCTATTGGTGAGCCCGTCTAAAGTGCAGGCCCCCAGGCCCACCTCCCAGGGTTCCTCATTCAGCGAGTTGGGGTTGTAGAGCTCAGGAATCTGCATTGTTTTCCTCCAGTTTTATAGAGTTACAATCGACACATAAAAATTGCATGTATTTAAGGTGTACAACATGATGTTTTAGTACACATATATCTTTGTGAAATGATNTTTCCATGGTTATTGCTTTGCGCTTCCTAGCAGTCCCCTCCACATCACTGCTTTCCCTCTTGCTTCCGGACATCCTGGGCTCTGATTGAGCACTGTACTCCTGTACACTATCGCACTGTACAGTAAGCACACAGCAACACAGCTGTGACAATGTCGGGCAGATATGTGAGCTACTTCTGCAATTTTTCGCATCTACCAATGTTCGTAATGCAAGGTCTGTTCGTATCTGTGAAAGTTCGCAACTCGAATGTTTGTAAGTTGGGAACTTACTGTACTGAGAGCCAGTGCTGGGGCTTCACTGGGCTAGGCCTTGGAGGTCTAAGGGGGTCAACAGCATAAATGTCCAGAAAATTCAAGTTCTCCTTATTGGATATGAAGCAAAGGCTTTCTCCGACTGCTTCAACCCTATTTCTGTACCATGAGGGGAATTTTCTGGAACCCTGGACTCTCTAGAAAGCAGCTCCTGGCCCATGGAGGAAAGTGGGGTTAGGCCCGTTCTGCCACAATTTGGAAGGAACCAGAGGGAACAATTACCATCTTCTTGGCTTATTTGGGGATTTAACTGATGCAACAGGCTAAGGAGGAGGTCCCCAAGGAGCCAGTACTGTATTAGATGCTCGAGACCCATGTGACCCTCAGGGCTGGGACAGCCCTGGAGTGAAGAAGGGCCTCAGAACACAGGACTTCATGAAAAGGACGATTTGGGGGGCTGGGGAGATATCAGGTTGAAGAGACCAGGGGGAGTGTCACTGTGGGGGAGAGAGAATAGAAAGGTCTGGAACTGCTGCTCAGTGTGTGTGGCGGTGCTGGCGGTGGAGCAGCAGACCCCTGACAGCTGGATTTAACTCCGGTGTCTTGTAAACACCAGGACAGATCAGCTGCAGAGTCTTCTGAGCTGGACCCTTCCTCCCCGTCTTCCCCTTTCCTACTGTGGCGTCTGAGCCCTGGGGTGCTCTGATGCATTCTGCCAAGAGGGTGACCACTGCCCAACATCACTCCCAGGCCCTGGGGAAGGGTGGGATCCTGCCTGTGGAACAGGCGTGGCCCTAGGTGCAGTGTCTTGGGGGAAGGGCTTGAGCCCTTAAGGACAGAGAGAAATTAGCCAAGAGCAGAAAGGAGCTCTAGACAGAGGGATCAGCATATTCACAGTCACAGAGGTGGAAGAAAATGCACAGCAGTGTGAGTCATTCAATGGGCTGGAAGCATAGAGCCTATGTGGCAAGTGGGGAGAGGTGAGATGGGGCCCTGCCTCCCTTCTGCTCACACTCCCCGAGGCCTGCACTCACACTGGCCCCTGTCCTCCCCTACACCAAAGCCTGCCTGTCTCGGGGTCCTTCCCATACCTATGTTGGGAGTCTACTCTGCACCAGAGGCGTTAGTGCTAAGTACCAGAAGTGAGTACTCCTCCGTGCCTGTCCCTGCCTGTACATCACTAGAGTCCTTACAACAACCCGGTGCCATAAACAGGGGTGATGATGGAACTACTTAACAACGAATGGGCGTAAGCTGTAGCCTTATGAAAGAATCCTGGTCATCCTGCTGGCGATACTGGCTGAGTATCAGTCATGGTGGTTAATACCATTATGTCCATCTTACAGATAAGGAAAAGAAGGCTGGGGGGATTTAAATCACTTGGCCAAAGCTACAAAGCAGAAAATTGGAGATTCAGACCTAGCCTTGGCTCCATCTAATGCTATTAAGCTCTCTGGCTCACAAATGAAAACCTGAAAGTGTGAGGGGGTGAAGAGAGCCTGCCATACTATAACACAGGCACCCTGAGGGGCCATCTGCCCCCAGGGATGTGGCAGGAGTTGGGGGCAACGCAGGTCCAGGGAAGGTGACAAGCCGGCTGGGGTTTCCTGTCCCCAGCCACAACCTCCGGGCAGCTAGCAATGGAGGCTGGGGGCCCGTGGTCACTAGGCCAGCAGGGTCTTGGACCAGACTCCTTTGGAAGGACACAGCTGGCCTGGCCTCCAGCATGACCCTTCCTATTACAGTTCCTCCTCAAGGTCTCCCTCCTCCCCTAAGAGCAGGGAGGGTTCCCTGGTCCCAGCTGAAACAACAAAGTCACCTGAGCCTCTGCCTTCTCCCAAATTCCTGAAGAGGCTGCCAGCTATGAGTCACTGCGTTGGCAGCCCTGCTCACTGTGAACCAGCCTGGGGCCCTGAGGCTTTCCGGGAGTCTGAGCTGGGGTGGAAGGCGGAGGCCATTGGCAGCCCTGGCGAGCACTTTACCCTTCCAGCTGGAGCTCCAGGGGGCCCATCCTGTGGTCGGCCCTGCGGGGTCGGTGATTCCCAGGTGCGTATTACAGCAGCATGGGCTGGGGCACACTTCAAACCATGTGCCTGAGCTCCTGCTCAGCACCAGGCATGACCCTGACCTCAGGGAGCTCAGCGTGGTGGGACCCTTAGGCCTTTAGCCATGTCTCTTCTTGTTCCACTGAGGACACGAGGCTGGGCTGCTGTTCAGAGCAGGCAGCATGGCCCAGTCTCAGGTTCATTTGGGCAGCCAGGTTCCAGCCCCTGCCATGTGTGGGGTTCCAGCTGATTCTGACCACAGGTCCTGCCGGGGTGGACTGACCTGTCTCCAGCAACCGCATGTGGCATGGCTTTGGCTTCTGATCACCACTGTGATGACCCTGTCTCTCCCTCCCTTTTTCCCAATCCTCTCTGATACTAGGCACGCAGGCATTCGTTTTCTACTTTTGAGCAAGGCTATGCAGTCTCATGTTTCATTTCTCTTTACTTTGTATTTGGAGGTAAAGGGGGCCAATTCTAGCACGAGCTTAATTTTCCATGTTGCCCCATTAGTTCTGGAATTCCTCGCCAGTCAACTTAGCCATGAGAACACACATCTTAGGCTCCTCGTCCTGGAGCTATCACTAACCAGCTGGTGACTGAGGGCAAACTCTTTCGAGGCCCTCCCCTCATCTTTGGGTCTATAAACTGTGGGAGTTAAAGGAGGGAATGAGAGAGGTGAGGAGCGCAGCAGGATGCAGGACAGCAGTGACCCCCACACTTGGGTGGGGTCTGGAATTTAATCCTTAGCAAGAAGACTCACTGCACCATCTCACCCACACAGGAGAATAGACAGTCTGATGTCATGGAGAGAGAGAGAGTGGAAAGTTCTGAGTCAGAAATAACCAGGTTCCAGTTATTATTACTACAGAAATACAGTTATTATTATTACTGAAATATCTAGTCCCCTGCTTTGTGCCTGTCTGGCTATGTGACCTGGAGCAAAACTAAGCCCTTGAACTTCTGTTTCTTCCTCAGTGACATGGGATAGCAATGTCTGTCCTTTACCCAAGCGGGAGGGTGTTGTTGCAAGGAAGTTGGGAGACAATGGGAATGAAAAACACTTATCAAACCTAAGGTTCTATGTGCATGCAAAAAATGTTATCAGTTGGCACAGCTTGGGTTCCCTGGGAAGCCCATTCTGAGACTTGTGGAGTGTTGAGGATGTTATCAAGAAGTGCCTTGGGATCGACATACATGAACAGGTGGGTGTGCTTATGAGAATGTCTATTTGCATGTATAGATTTCATTCATTTATTCTTCAAACATTTATGAAGCATCTACAATGTGCCAGGCACTGTGTGCTAGGAGCTGGGGAGTGAGAATAGATAAGATGTGGTTCCTGTCTCTGGAAGCTTATTGTCTCTTGGGGAGACAGACAACCCAATGCAGGTATCTGGGGTACAGTGTGGTAAGAAAAGTGACAGAGGGCACACAGGTGGCTATGGGAGTGCCTGGTGTGCACCCAAATCTTACTGGGGCCTTCACTGGGACAGGACACCCTTGAGCTGAGTCTTGAAGGGTGAGTAAGAGTTACTCAGGCAAAGGTCCTGGGGAGGGTGTCCCAGGCTGAGGAACAGAAATTTCACATGCAGCGAGAACTGACTGGGAAGGAGGTAATAAGATACAAATAAGGGTGGGTCAGCAGGTAGAGAGGGAGAGATTGTTTGGGGTGAAGATGGGGCACAAGCTGGCAGGTACTTCTGATGAAGGAGTGAGAACTTTCTCATGCAGAGGGTGTCGATAGCCATTGTTTCATCTCAGAGATGTGTTCTGGCAGCAGTGTGGGGGTGATGTGAGCGGATGGACTGCAGGACCCCGATGTGTCCCTGTACCTGTTTATGAGGATGTCCACACATGTGGCTGTGTGTGTGTGTCTGCCCAGCTGGAGCCTGTGCACAGGTGTTGCCCACATAGACTTGTTTTCAACGTCCACCCTCTGGCCTTGGCATCCTGGGGGGTTCAGGGGGATGGCTGTCCTGTTGCTGACTCATGAGTGAGTACCATGATGGGGGAGCTGGTCGGGGGGGATAGCAGGTGTTTCCTCTAGGGCCACAGGCACTCCCCCACCCTCTGGGCTGTCAGTGAGGTGAGCAGCAGGCAGTGAGTGAGTGCTTCCCTCCCCCAGCTGGTGCTCCTGGGTTCCAGTGCTGGTCCCAGGCCCGTGCATCAGGGCTGGCGGAACAGAATGGTGACAGGCTCGGGGTGTGGGGGGTGGGGGGGTGCCACGTGTCAGCTTTCCCTTTCGGGGTCTTCTCTCACTGGGCACCCTCCCTTCAGCACTGAAGTCATATACTTTGATCCTTAATTATCTAA